GGAGGAAGAGGAGGAGGAAAAGGAGGAGGATGAGGAGGAGGACGAGGAAGAGGAGGAGGCAGAGGAGGAGGAGGAAGAAGAGGAAGCGGAGGATGAGGGGGAACCGGAGGAGGCGGATGATGATAGTGATGATGATGATGATGATGATGATGATGATGATGATGATGATGATGCTGATGATGATGTTGATGATGATGATTATGATGATGATGCTGATGCTGATGCTGCTGCTGCTGATGATGATGATGATGATGATGATGATGATGATGATGATGATGATGATGATGAGGAGGAGGAGGAGGAGGAGGAGGAGGAAGAGGAAGAGAAAGATGAGGAGGAGGAGGAAGATGAGGAGGAGGAGGAGTAGGAGGAGGAGGCGGAGGAGAAACAGGAAGGGGAGGAGGAAAAGGAGGCGGAGGACGAATGTGCATGATACCAATATGGCTATTAATCAGAAGAACATGATGAATAGTAATAAGCATAGTGAGAATATTTCCAATACTGAGAACATTAGCAATACCAATGTGAAGCTGGAGCATATTGATTCAATGACTATGGATAATAATAAGAATACCAGTGCGAATACTATCATTACGAAGAATAAGTATAATCAAAACCCGAGTAAGGCGACTAAACATAATACGCATAGTTACGACGCATTATAATATTAGGGGTGAGAACCATATATTTATAATACTACGAAAACGAACATCAATACGCATACGAACAATTCTTTTTAATAATACGAATCGTAGGAACAAGACTACTACTACTAATAGTAATACTACATATGATACTGATAAGGCTAAGGCTAAGACAAATACTATTCATATTACTAATAGTAATACGAAACAGACATATACGAATACGAATCAGACGACTAACAAAAGCACTTATAGTCATACTACGATTGCTACTACTACTACTGCTACTACTTATATTAATCATGCTAATAAGCATGCTTTTACGAGAATAATGATGTTACTAATGGTATCACTGAGAAGGATACGACCAATCGTAGGAATAATACTATGACAATATCATTAGTACTAATACACATACCAATGCTACTATCAATAATATTACAGCTACTAACAGTAGTATTAGTTAGACTAAGACCATGAATACTTATAGGTGTTTTCCGTAGTACTACTATAATAATAATGTTAAGACCGACGTTGCTACTAATAGTACTATCAAAAGCTGTAATGCTAATACTAATACTAAGAATGGGAATGCTAATACTAATACTATTAATTGTAATAAGAAACGTGCTAATATTATTAGTAATAATAAACGATAGTACTAATACTAAGAATCAAGCGAATGTTAATAATAATAAGAAGAGGAGGAGGAAGAGGAGGAGGCGGAGGAGGAGGAGGAGGAGGAGGAGGGAACGGGCGGACGATGACGACGGAAACGGGGGGTGGGGACCTGGAGGAAGAAGAGGAGGGGGATGAGGAGGGTGACTGTGAGGAAGAACGGCGACGCTTTAGACGACGACGACGCGGACGAGAAGGAGGAGGAGTAGGAGGAAAAAAGGAGGAGGAGGAGGAGCAGCAGGAGGAGGAGGAGGACGACGACGACGACTGCGACGAGGGCCCCAGGATGGCCTCAAGTGGCGCCCGAGATGCAAAGAAATCGGTACAGCGACGACGGCGACGATGACGACGACGACGATGACGACCCGCGCCCCTCTCCAAGCTGTCTTGCGGGTGCGCCCGCTGCTGCCCCCTCGCCCGGAATCCGGCGCCATGGACGGCCCCCTGTCAGTGGCCCGGTGGCTGACGGGGGACGAGGAGGACCAGGGGTGTCCAAGAGAATTGTGAGGACTACGGTGGATTTGGCGGCGCGCCCGGGTGGAAGGCAGATGGGGCGGGCCTTTTGAGGAACCTCGGAAGGCTTCAGCGTTCAGAAAAAATGTGTTTTGTTCTTGTTCCGAACAAGGCGCGAGGGCTTCTGAGAAGTTCCGCAGCCTCTGAGAATGCCTGCCTCCCCTCACTTCCCCCCCTGGGTGCGCCGCCGTTGGATATTATGACCGTATCCATGACATCTCCCAGAAATTATGGCCCTTTCTCCTTCTTTCACCACGTCCTCTGGCCCCCAATCGTCCGCGCGCGTGCAAACTGTCACAATGCAAGCAACGATCGGCGAGCCGCCTACCCTTTCCACATGCTGGTTTTTCATCCTGAGTTCTTTTCTGACGGTTCAGGGGCCCGGGGATCTCCCCTGGAGATGCAACGCGGTGAAGAATCTTCGCATTTATTTCTTTTAAAACGTCGGAGTTCCAGGTGTATGCAAGTAGTTGTTCATATAGTTATATTTTGTATCTGCGTATATGTGTATGTATATATAGATGTATGTGTATATGTGCATGTATATGTATATGCATGTGCATTTGTATGTGTATATGTATATGTCTATGTATATGTATGCAATGTATATGTGTGTGTATATATGTATATGTCCATGTATAGGTTTATGTTTCGATATTTTAACTATGTATTTGTATATGGGAATATGTATAGGTTTTTGTTTGTGTTTTTATGTAAGTATGACTTGTGATTATGTGTATGCATATTTATACGCGTATTCGTACGTATGGGAACATGTGCATGTATATTCGTTTCCGTGCGAATTTGCACATGTATATGTTGATGCTTAGGTTTTGTTATGTGCATGTAGAAGTTTCTGTATACTTGTATCTGTGTTTATGTATATGTTTAGTTGTTATATATATTTATATATACACGTGCGTGTTTATGTACATGTGCACATATGTATTTGTTTATGTATGTAGTATAACCATGTACACCACCTAAAGGGGGGGGAAAGGGTCTGGGAAAGGGGAGGGGTCCCCGACGATGGACCAGGAAAGGGGGGGATGCCCCCGATGACGGACCGGGGAAAGGGTGGATGTATGCATGTATGCATGTACGTATGTAGGTATGATGTATGTAGGTATGCGTGTGCGCATGTACGCATGCATGTATGTGTGTTTCTATGTATCTTTGTATGTATGTCTGTATGTGTGTATGTATGTATGGATGCGTGGCCGTCTGTCTGTCTGTGTCTGTCTGTCTGTATGCATGCATGCATGCATGTATGTATGTTACATCACTGTGCAAACGCGTACATACACACATCGAAGACGCCGACGGTGAACTCCCGCCGCTCACAGCCATTTAGGATACGCCTATGTGGTTAAACGTTTGGGCAACATTTGGCCTCGCTGTTAGACCATGCGTTCCCCCAGCCGTTGTGGAAGCCCTTCGGGCCTCCACAACGGCTGGGGGATGAGGAGAAGGATGCGGAGAAGGATGCGGAGACCTGTTGGGCGCTTCTTGGGTGATTATTGGGGCCTCCTGAGAGCTTTGTGGGAGCCTCTTGGAGGCCTCGTGGGGGCTTCTTTGGTCCTCTTGAGGACCTTCTGGGGCTTCTTGGAGGCCTCTTTGGCCGTCTTGCAGTGTTCCTGGCCCGTCTGACGCCGTCGGAAACCGTTTTGCGAGCCCTGTGGGCCGTCTTCGCCGTTCCCTGACCTCCTGGACCATCTGGGAGGCCTATTTGAAGCGTTTTCGGACTGTTTTGAGGCCCTCCGGCATGTTTTGGGGCCCCGTCGCCTCCAGAAGAGAAGGGTCACGCGAGAGCGCGCGAGACTGCCCAGGAGGGTCCTGGCGAGCGCCGGGCACTCGGGGCTGTGGCCCTCCGCTATGCAGGATTCCGGCACTTACGGAGCAATGTAATACTCCTCCTCCTCCTTCTTCCTCCTCCTCCTCCCTCCCTCCTCCCCCCTCCTCCTCCTCCTCCCCTCCTCCTCCTCCTCCTCCACTCTCCTTCCTCCTCCTCCCCCTCCCCCTTTCCTCCTCCTCCTCCTCCTCCTCCTCCTCCTGCTCTCCCTCATCCTCCTCCTACTCCTATTTCTCCTCCTCCTCCTCCTCTTCCTCCTCCCGAGGACACATGCGGAGGATTCTCTGTGGTACTCGAGGATACCCCACTCAGTGCCTCGCGGCACGGTGGCGGAGATATCTACGCGCTCGCCTGGCAATGCAGTGATCTTTCTGTGGCCAGTCATTTCTTGTTGAGTGATTTTTATTTGGTCCCTTGTCGTATTCACCGTCACTCAGAAGCATCTTTCTGGTAAGGTCTGGTGCACCTTACCGCTCTCGAAAAGCACCGCCATGGTCAGGCTACGCCAGGGAGGGGGGGGGACGTGCAAGTCTACCATACAAATTGGCCTGCGAGGGCGGTCAGAAAGTACGAAGTAAACGCGAGGCTCATGCCACACGACAGAGGTTCACATGATACCATAACGATGGCAAGTCGTGGTCTCCCAAGCAGCAGCTCAGCTATGCTTCTGCACTCCCGATGTGCTTCTTGCTGTTTTCTTTCTCTTTGCCAGTTCGCGCCGTGCCTGTATTGATCAACCCTTCTCTTGCATGTGCGCTTCACCGCCACAGTGTCTCACGCCCTCCGTCTCCGCCTGCGGAG